CAAAAGGGAGTGGCACAATATAAAGTGATGAAAGGGAAAAACCTAAAACCGAGATTACTCTACCCAGCAAGGCTCTCAGATTTGACAGAGAAAGCAACAGCTTAAGAACTGGCACCACCAAACCAGCTTTACAACAAATGCTAAAGCAACTTCTCTAGGTGGGAAACAAACACGTGGAGGCTAAACAATATGCTTCTAAACAACCAATGGATCACTGAGGAAATCAAAAAACACCTAGAGACAAATGAAACCTAAAACACAAGGATCCAAAACTTATGGGATGCAGCAAAAGCAGTTCTAACAGGGAAGTTTATGGTGATACAAGCTTACCTCAGGAAACAAGAAAAATCTCAAATAAACAACCTAACCTTACACCTAAAGCAACTAAACAACAAACAAATTACAAAATAGGTAGAAGGAAAGAAATCATAAAGGTCACGGAAGAAATAAACAGACTAATAAAACAATAAAAAAGATCAATGAAACTAAAAGCTGATTCTTTGAAAAGATAAACAAAACTGCTAAACCTTTAGCCAAACTCATAAGAAAAAAAGGGATAGGGCCCAAACCAAAAAAATTAGAAATGAAAAAGGAGAAGTTACAACTGACGTAAGAGACCACTACAAGCAACTCTATGCCAATAAAATGGACAACCTAGAAGAAATGGACAAATTCTTAGAAAGTTACAATCTCCCAAGACTGTACCAGGAAGAAACAAAATATGAACAGGCCAATTACAAGTACTGAAATTGAATCTGTGATTAAAAAACTCCCCCAAAATAGAAGTCCAGGACCAGATGGCTTCACAGGCGAATTCTACTGAACATTTAGAGAAGAGTTAACAACCATCCTTCTGAAACTATTCCAAAAAACTGCAGAGGAACGAACACTTCCAAACTCATTCAGTGAGGCCACAATCACCCTGATACTAACACCAGACAAAGATACCACAAAAAAAGAAAATTACAGGCCAATATCACTGATGAACACAGATGCACAAATTCTCAACAAAGTACCAGCAAATTGACTCCAACAGTACATTAAAAGGATCATACACCATGATCAAGTGGCATTTATCCCAGGGATACAAGGATTTTTCCATATCTGCACATCAATCAGTGTGAAACAGCACGTTAACAAACTGAAGAATAAAATCCATATGATCACCCCAACAGACGCAGAAATAGCTTTTGATAAAACGCAACATCCATTTACAATAAAAACTCTCCAGAAAATGGGCACAGAGGGAACCTACTTCAAGATAATAAAGGCCATATATGACAAACCCACGACTAACAGCACACTCAATGGCGAAAAGCTGAAAGCATTTCCTCTAAGATCAGGAACAAGGCAAGGATATCCACTCTTGCCACTTTCATTCAACATAGTTTTGAAAGTACTAGCCACTGCAATCAGAGTAGAAAAAGAAATAAAAGGAATCCAATTTGGAAAAGAAGTAAAACTGTCACTGTTTGCAGATGACATGATACTATACACAGAAAATCCTAAAGACTAACAAAAAACTGCTAGAGCTCATGAATGAATTTGGTAAACTTGCAGGATACAAAATTAATACACAGAAATCTGCATTTCTAAACACTAACGATGAAAGATCAGAAAGAGAAATAAAGGAAACAATCGCATCTACCATCGTATCAAAAGTAATATCGGGTTGGCCAGAAAGTTTGGTAAGATGTTACGAAAAAACCCAAATGAACTTTTTGGCCAACCTAATAAAATACCTAGGGATAAATCTACCTAGGGAAGGAAAAAATCTGTACTCTGAAAACTAAAAGACACTGATGAAAGAAATCAAAGATGACACAAACTGATGGAAATATATACCATGTTCTTATATTGGAAGAATCAATATTGTCAAAATGGGGCTTCCCTGGTGGCACAGTGGTTAAGAGTCCGCCTGCCGATGCAAGAGACATGGGTTCGTGCCCCGGTCCGGGAAGATCCCACATGCTGCGGAGCGGCTGCGACTGTGAGCCATGGCTGCTGAGCCGAGCCTGCGCTCCGCCACGAGAGAGGCCACAATGGTGAGAGACCCACGTAACACACACACACACACACACACAAAAATTGTCAAAATGACTATACTACCCAAGGCAATCTACAGATTCAATGCAATCCCTATCAAATTACCAGTGGCATTTTTTTGCAGAGCTAGAATAAAAAATTTTACAATTTATATGGAAACACAAAAGACCCCAAATAGCCAAAGCACCGAAGAGTAAAAGCAATTTTGAGAAAGAAAAACAGAGCTGGAGGAATCAGCTTCCCTGACTTCAGAGTATACTATAAAGCTATAGTCATCAAAACAGTGAGGCACTGGCACAAAAGCAGAAAGATAGATCAATGGAACATGACAGAAAGCCAGGAAATAAACCCACGCACCCATGGTCAATTAATCTATGACAAAGGAGGCAAGAATATACAATGGAGAAAATCTCTTCAGTAAGTGGTGCTGGGAAAACTGGACAGCTACATATAAAAGAATGAAATTAGAACAGTCTCTAACACCACACACAAAAATAAACTCAAAGTAGATTAAAGACCTAAGTGTAAAACCGGATACTATAAAACTCCTAGAGGAAAACATAGGCAGAACACTCTTTGACATAAACTGCAGCAGTGTCTTTTTGGATCTGTCTTATAGAATAATGAAAATATAAACAAAAATAAACAAATGGGACCTAATTAAACTTAAAAGTTTTTGCACAGCAAAGGAAACCATAAACAAAAAGACAACCTACAGAATGGGAGAAAATATTTGTAAATGATGCAACCAACAAGGGATTAATCTCCGAAATATACAAATAGCTCAATATCCAAAAAATAAACAAGCCAATCAAAAAATGGGCAGAAGATCTAAATGGACATTTCTCCAAAGAACACATACAGATGGCCAAAGGCACATGAAAAATGCTCAACATGGCTAATTATTAGAGAAATGCAAATCGAAACCAGAATGAGGTATCACCTCACACTGGTCAGAATGGCCATCATCAAACTCTACAAATAATAAATGCTAGAGGGAATTCCCTGGAGGTCCAGTGGTTAGCACTCCATGCTTCCACTGCAGGGGGCCCAGGTTAGACCCCTGGTTGGGAAACTAAGATCCCACATGCCACGGGGCAGCTAAGCCCACGTGCTCTAGAGCCCGTGCGCCACAAGTAGAGAGAAGCCCACACACTGCAACAAAAGATCCCCATGCCGCAACTAAGACGCGATGCAGCCAAAAAAAAAATAAAAAAAGGACCAGTACAGGTAAAGTAATTGTGAATCTATTAAGGTGTTCATTAAAAAATAAAAAGAATGTATTTTAAAAAATAAATGCTGGAGAGGGTGTGGAGAAAAGGGAACCCTCTTGCACTGTTGTTGGGAATGTAAATTGGTACAGCCACTATGGAGAACAGTATGGAGGTTCCTTAAAAAACTAAAAATAGAACTACCATATGATCCAGCAATCCCACTACTGGGCATATACGCAGAAGAAACCATAATTCAAAAAGACACATGCACCCCAATGTTCATTGCAGCACTATTTACAATAGTCAGGACATGGAAGCAACCTAAATGTCCACTGACAGAGGAATGGATAAAGAAGATATGGTACATATATACAATGGAATATTACTCAGCCATTAAAAAGAACGAAATAGGGCTTGCCTGGTGGCGCAGTGGTTGAGGATCCGCCTGCCAATGCAGGGGACACGGGTTCGAGCCCTGGTCTGGGAAGATCCCACATGCTGCGGAGCAACTAGGCCCGTGAGCCACAGCTACTGAGCCTGCGCGTCTGGAGCCTGTGCTCCGCAACAAGAGAGGCCGCGACAGTGAGAGGCCCGCACACCGCGATGAAGAGTGGCCCCCGCTCGCCGCTACTAGAGAAAGCCCTCGCACAGAAATGAAGACCCAACACAGCCAAAAAAATAAATAAATAAATTTATATTAAAAAAAAACGAAATAATGCCATTTGCAGCAACGTGGATGGACTTAGGAGATGATCATACTAAGTAAGCCAGACAGAGAAAGACAAATATATGATATCGCTTATGTGGGGAATCTACAAAAAATAAATGATACAAATGAACTTATATACGAAACAGAAAAAGACCCACAGACGTAGAAAACAAATTTATGGCTACCAAAGGGGAAAAGGGTGGGGGTGGGGAGGGATAAAGCAGGAGGTTGGGATTCACAGATACACACCACTCTATATAAAATAGATAATTAACAAGGACCTACAGTGTAGCACAGGGAACTCTACTTGAAATTTTGTAATAAACTATAAGAGAAAGGTATCTGTAAAAGAATACATATACATAAAAAGATAGATATATATGTATAACTGCATCACCATGCTGTACGCCTGAAACTAACACAACATGCCGGGCAATAAGCAGCAGATATCCCTTCAGGACTGATGGGTCATTAAGTAGTTCGTTTTTCTCATTAAGGAACTTATCTTCAGAGATGTAAAGTATTCACTGTGAGCTAACGGAGTTAAACCCTTTCATGATGTTTTAGCATTCTGATTACAAGTGGCGCTAGTTTACTTACAGTAGGGACAAAAACGATCTTGATGACAACCCTGGGGGGCTGTGAGCTTACTCTTGCCGTCACCACCGCACTCACATGCTGTGGGGAGCTGAGGGGGCAACACTCAGGCACTTAGGTACTTTCTTTCTTTCTTTTTTTTTTTTTTTCTTGCGTTATGCGGGCCTCTCACTGTCGTGGCCTCTCCCATTTGCGGAGCACAGGCTCCGGGCGCGCAGGCTCGGTGGCCATGGCTCACGGGCCCAGCCGCTCCGCGGCACGTGGGATCCTCCCGAAACGGGGCACGAACCCGCGTCTCCTGCATCGGCAGGCGGACTCTCAAGCACTGCGCCACCAGGGAAGCCCAGGCACTTAGGTACTGAGTCCAGAAAGGCTTCTCCTCCTGAAACGCGTTTCCTAACCAAATGCTTCAGAGCGGAGATCCCCAGTCCTCTTCATCCCTCCGACACAGGAGCCCGTGAGGCGTCCTGTCCATCTGGGGCAGGGCTTGGCACGCTTTCTGTAAAGGGCCAGAGAATAACCATTTTCAGCTTTGCAGGGTCTATGGTCTCTGCTGCAACAACTCAACTGTGTCACTGCAGTGTGGAAGCAGCCACAGCCATCACCTAACCAAAGACTCAGGGCTGTGTCCCACAGAGACTTTATTTATAAAAAATAGGCCACATGCTGGCTTGTGTCTGTGGGCTGTCGTGGTCTGCTGACCCCTGGGCTCAAGGGGATTGGGGAAGAGGACATAGCTGAGAGGTGATTCTCACCTACCTTTGTACCCTGAGCATTTCTGATCTAGAGTAAGGCAAAGGGGCAGGTACAGGGAGACCCCTCCCTGACCGTGTCTCTTACAGGGCATTTACAAAGAAAGACCACAAAGCCTTTCCTAAAGGCAAGATACTGTTTTTGGAGTTCTGAAAATTCTGTCATATCAAACTAAAATAACCACCTCTAGTATACTCTTCCTCAACTGTGAATTTTTCCTTATGGAGAATTCTAGCACACCTTTTCCTTAACCATGAGAATTTGATGCAGAATTAAATTACTCCCACTGGGGATAATTAGAGAGGCGGGGGGGGGGGGACGACAGGGGGCTGAAGAACAGAAAAGGGAGATACAGCAGAAGATAAGCCAGCATCGAGTTCTGGGAAGAGAGAAGGAAGAGGTGTGCAAATACATGAATGCTGGCCTTAGAACAGCACACCTGCTTTTTCATAGTTTTGAAGGAGCTGGGACAAAAGAGGGACTGAACACATGTATTCTGGCCTGAGGATATTACAAGCAAAGGGAAGATACAGACAGACCCATCGACTGACTGATAGGGGCACATCGCTATCTGATGGGTAATCCACCTCTGATGCTGGAAAAGAGGCTGAAAGCCGTTGTCCATCTGTGAGGATCTACATTACATTTCCCTGAAGCCTTTGTAAGCATCCAAGTTATTCTCTAGGGGCCAAAGCAGAAAATTGGAAAAACATGGAATATTCTGATGAGGGAAGAGACATAAAAACCCCACCAGCCGAAAACAACCCTAACAAAGTGGGAGGAATATTTGAGTATTGCACTGAAATTCTTGGGAAGGGATAGGGGTGGAGTTCTGAAAAGCTTCCAAGAAGAGATGATAAGCAGAAGCCATTTGCTCACTATTATACTCACTTAAGATGTGGAAAAGGTGATTTAGCCTTCTGTGTAGTGTGCTGCTTTAATTAGCTTAAAATATAACCTGCCAAGGATTTTTCAGAGGCTCACCTGCAACTGTGAACCCACCCTCTGCTTTTGTTTCTGACACCTGCCAAGATGTGGTCAAGGACCCAGAAGAGCCTAACCATTCCCAAGGGGAGGGGTCTGATGGGTGCTGATCTCCTGCCACTTCACATACTATTCTGTACCAGGGTACATGTAGCCGAGTATCTAGTGGAGATGAACAGTAAAGTGCCAAGATATAGAGAATAAGTTTAGAGAGTAAGATTTAAAATTGAGATATGAGCTATTAGGAAATAGCTATTAAAAAATTTTAATGACGAACTCTGCCATCTTCTTGTCTCCTTGAATAACATCAGCCTTTATGATTAAACAGACTGACGTTTTTTTCAGTAACTTTGTCACTTTTGAGAACAAGCCGAAAGGAATATCCACACAGAACCAGATCTGTCCACATTAAAAAACTGGCTTCCTACAGAGTTGTCAGATTCCAATAATTTTATTCTTTTCACGCTCTCCCCTGCCCCCAGTACAAGTTTCCATTGTTAAATCCGCACTGCAGCCATCTCCACCGTCCCTGCCTTGGAGTGCCAAAGCTTTCTTACGTGGTGTCCAGGGCAATGCTACTTACACCAGCGCTGCAGCTCTTAGGATAAACAAAGATAAACATAAGGATCTAAGAGGCCATTCTGTTGACTGTTTCTAAGTCTTGACTCTACAGATCATTCTGTTATATTTTTGTTTTATAAATTTAAAAGTAAAGTCTTAAGCAAAATGAGAAGTTTCTGTCTCACTTTCTTCAGTCTCAATTTAGAGATGTGAAAAATAACCTCATGTGATGTGAAAAATAGCCTAAATGGTCTCCTTCAGGCGGGTAAAACTTTCAGGGAAGGCTTTTTCCCTGTGAAACAAATGACTTGGGATTTTAGGCATCTCCGTTTATGCGGGGATGATCAGAAAGGAATTCCTCTTTCTCACCGATGGCCATGAATATTAGACGAGGGCCAGCAGCTATGCCCTGCTAGTCAGGATGGAAGAGTTTGGTGCAGACACATTCCCGCTGCTTGACCTGCGCCCTATGTTCTGGTACTGAATTAGCCAACAAATCCAGTTAGAGTCAAATCTGATATTTTAGAAGCTTGTGAATTCTACTGGCCTCCAGTGTTAATGATTATCTTACACTTTTACACTGAAAATTTTCATCTGGAAAGCGTTTGGGTTTTTTTGTTTTTAAATTGTGGAAGAATACTGGGCTATTTCTGTTTTTTTTCTTTTATAAAACAATACTTTAAAAAATGAGCAAAAGTTATCTGGAACTAAAAGAGCAATGAAATCTAGGCATTTTCCTTCTGGTAAGATTTGGAGCAAGCTGAAACACGTCACTAGAAAGGTGTTGTGCTTTTAATGTTAAAAGTGGAGCAAATAAAACAGCTCTAAGCCTTAAGACACACGGATGAGTGACAGCTATATTTTGCTCCTCCTCCTCTCTTTTGGGGTATAAAGCTATTTGGCTTCAATCCTAAAAGGAAGCTCTTACACAGGAATTAAAAAGTCACCTTGGAGAAGAGCCCTGATCTTCTAACAGGCAAATAGCTTTAAGGAGAAAACACAAAGCTCACCAGATCTCCAGTGACAATCTTAAATGGAGCATAACAGCAGTTATGTAAATTCCAGTCAAATCTTATAAAGGCCAATATAACCAAAACCTCCAATAAAAAAACCTCCAAAAAAAAACCTCTCAGGCAACAGCTCATTCTCTAGGGCATGTCAGATAATGCAAAACTAAAAAACAAAAAAGCAGTTGGGAAAATCCCTTGGAGGTGCCTATAATGGGATGTGACCTGTAATTTAGGCTAAAAATAGAGAAAGGCTTACTCAGATGCTTGAAGCTCCAGCTACAACAAAGGACGAAGTACCCTGTGAAGAACGTCACGATGCCACCGACTCCTCTGTTCTGCACGGTGGTGCGACACCTGATCCAGCCTGTTCAAAGAGAAGCAGGTCTCACTGTTAGAGGCGAAGGCCCCTAGGGGCCCTTATCTGTGAGGGACTCAAGTTACCCGGTTAGCTTAGGCAAAGGAATTGCAAAGAATTTACATACCACTATACTGCATGTGTGATGAAAAGGCTAAAACCAAAAGACCTTAATTTTAATAAATTTAAATTAGTCACTTATTTTGGGGAGTTTGGTTAAAATCTTTCGTGGGGAGGAGGTGAATACAGCTGGTTAAGTTGAGGTTGAGCCTTCCTGGCTTGGGGACAATCAACGTGGGGAAGGCAGAGATGGGCAGGTGGCAGAGAGAGGCAGGGTTAAGTACTGAATAAATGAAAGCTGCTCAATAAATGGCAGTTGCTGTTATTAGCTTCGGTGCTTCTAATTACATGAGACTCCTGGATGAAAACAGCCAGGCAGGAGAGTAGTAAGATTACAAGGTTGTCCTCTTCTCTTTCTCGAGCCTGCTGTAACAGCCATGGCTAAAGGAAGAGAAAGTTCTCCAAATGCTTGGAACGAGCAACAGAGCCCAGCAGTTGTGATTCCAGCCTCACCTGTTTGGACAGCTCCCAAGAGCCTCCTTAGAGAGAAGCTGGAGGTTGTGAGCCTGGCCGGGGCTTCCAAACTTCTTACCGCCGTCGAACTTCTTTCCAACAAAGGAACTAGGGTTCCAAACAGTCACTGTGATAATTCATTTAAATCCATCCTCTTCCCCAACACTCAGTGCCCAAGGTTCCCAGGGTGAGGCTGCAGGAAAGGGATATTCTAAATAGGTGGATTAATGTCTGCCTTGGGCTGCGGCTAACTGGTAACCACTGAAGGTCAAAGCCGTCTATTCCACATCAAGAAAAAGTTCTTCAACAGACTAAGGGACCCTGGGGATCAGGACCTAGATCCATTTCCGATCCGATGAATATAGTGCCCAGATGATCCAGGCATACATACTTAATGAAATGAATCATTTATACTTCCTCTCATCTGCTAAACATCTTATTAGCAAAAAGTATGACTTTCTACTGTCACGTTAATTATTGCTACTTGTCACTGCAACAGTCGACAAGCCAGCTCTATCAGCCCAGCCCAGCACTACTGCTGACCAGCACACTTATTTATGTTCAATACATGAGTAACTATAAAGCAGAACCAGAAAGGAGGGTTTAGGCTATTATGTATTTACATTTTCCCTGCCCCTGTTATTTTCCATGTTTAATGACAGGCAGGGAATCTCTACTATTGCTGGTTCTCTGGTCTTGGTTTGATTCATCAGGATAAAGGGTAAATTAAGCAAATATTTACAATGGGTTTAGCAGGTGTGGTAAAGGTTGCTGTGGATGTAAAAACACTACCCAAGGGTTTCCCTGGTGGCACAGGGGTTAAGAATCCTCCTGCCAATACAGGGGACATGGGTTCGAGCCCTGGTCCAGGAGGATCCCACATGCCGCGGAGCAACTAAGCCCGTGTGCCACAACTACTAAGCCTGCACCCTAGAGCCCGCGAGCCGCAACTAGTGAGCCTGCGTGCCTAGAGCCCGTGCTCCACAACAAGAGAAGCCACCGCAATGAGAAGCCCGCATGCAGCAACGAAGACCCAAGGCAGCCAATAAATAAATAAATACATTTAAAAAACAAAACAAAAAAACCCACCTCACACGGATACCCTACTGATGGAAATCCTGGTTTCAGGTTAGAGAACAGCCTTTATTTAGCTGTTTCTTGGCCTTTAAAAACCCATGACCTATAAAGTTTTCTCACTTGACCTTCTGGTAACCCCATCAGCCATATTTTGCTTTTTGTAATTACACAAAGTTTTTTTTTTTTTTCCCAAACCACCTTCTCCCCTGCCACAATTTGAGAACAGCCCGCTGCTGGGTCTGAGGCACCTGCGCCAGGGCCATCACCTCCAGGAGCAGTTCTCAACCTTGGCTGACCTTCAGTGACACTGAGAAAACGTCTGAAAATACAATTCTGAGGCCTCACTTCAGAATCAATCTCTGGGGATGATGCCTAGCAATCTTTACTCTTAAAAAAAAAATGACCACGTGAAACTGTTAACTGTCCAGATTTGGGAACCGAGGACCTAGATCTCTTACACTTTCAGCCCCAAAGCCAAGGCACCTGAATTCTGTAAAGGCCCAGCCAGCCCTCACAGCTGAATGCTCTCAAGGCGACTGGGACTCTGAGAGGTTTCCTTTGAATGAAGTCCTCTACTGCTGAGAGCTCTCAGACCCTGGTACTTGTTGAGTCTCCTGAGATTTAAATCTTGGACTTCTAAAATCTACCTTCCCTCAGGCCAGGAAAACTTACTCCTTCTGGTAGTGAGGTCCATGAGAATCTTTCTCCCTGAAGCTCAAAAGATTGCGCCTAGCGCTGCCGAATTCCATGAGCCCCATCCCCTGATTCCTGATTTACTGCAGCCCAACTTGGTGGCATCCTCAGAACCATCAGTCTGCCTCGGGATTTCCTAGCCTAGGTCCTCAAAACATAGCCATTTTTCATCAGCCATGAGAGCTTCTGGTCCTACCTTGATTCATCAAAATGACGGCCCTAGGTGCCTTTCCAGCTGGTAGAATCACCTCACCTAAGTTTACTCAGGTACCTGATGCACGAGGACTAGCTGTATTTCCCCGTGCAGGAAAGAAAACTGACGACATCCTGGAGCCCAACGGTCCAGTCCAAGAAACACTGCCCGGAAAACCTTGGCAAAGGCCATCAGATCACGTTAGAAACTGGATACTGGGCAAGTTACTCATCCTCTCTGAAACTCAGTTTCCTTGTCTGTAAAAGGGGATAATACCCATCTCCCAGAACTGGTATAAGATTCCTTAAGATAACTTAAGTCAACATGCAGGTATCACACCCGATATATAGTTAACTTAGTAACTCTTAGCTCACTGGCCCTGCCTTTAAGTATCAAAGGGATGAGCTGGTTTCCTGAGGCAGAGGAGGAGTGGCCCATGAAAGGTTTTGCCTGAGTAAGGGCACATATAGCCCAAGCTCTTCTGCAATGACTGCTGGGAGGTCAGTCTGACCCTGCAGTCACTGGGGACAGTCATTGCCAGGTGAAGGTACAAAGCTGAGGAGCCACACTACTTTTTCATCCTTGTAGATTTGACGGCCTTGAAGTCCCTGGCCAACTAAGGAATCAGGTCTTGACCTTAACTGAGATCCTAGGGTCTCCTCTAGTGTCTCTTGTTCATTTGGTAGCAGCATCACAGTCTGACCGTTAATGGTGGAGCCAACTTCCAATAGTTTTTCAGTTTACAACAGAACTAGAGGCACAGTGATGGCTACACATTCCCCGATACAGGAACCCAAACTAATCACACATTACAGACTGTGACCAATAAAAGAGAACAAAATCGTTTCTAGCCACCATCCTGGAAGAACTTACTATTAAAGGAAAACTTGTATTTTTCCCCCATATTCAATTTCATAAACCTAGTGATTTAGTAACATGGGTTACTGTTATCTCTTGCCTCATTATTACTGTAATCTTGGGACCTATTAAAGGGAGTGTTACTAATAACTTAAATCAACCGTGATATTGACCACTAATTGCCCTAAAGCCAGCCTGAGGCTGAGTTTAAAGACCATGGATGTACAAGCCAGATGGACCTGGATTTGAATCCCCGACTGCCGCTTACTGGTGAACATGGGCAAGTCACTGAGCCCTCTGAGGCTCAGACTCCTCGCCCACAACAGAGGGCAATCTTTGGCAGTGACAGCCCCTCAGAACCCTCAGGAGGATTAGAGGAGATAATTACATCAGGCATCTTGCACAATGACCAGAAACCGCCATCACCTGATAAACATTCTTAGTTCCCTCCCTTTTCCCACTAAAATCAACTCACCTTTGCACTACAGAGGGTAGGACAGAATACAAAGAAGCCCTTCTACTTGCTAGAGATTTGCTATGGGCTGTGTGTGTTTATGCTACTGAAAACCACAGAGAAGCTCGGAGATATAAACAACACCTGTGTGTCTAGCTGTGGCACATTTCCTACAACATGGTTGAGTGAAAGCTTTAAACTAGGCCTCGGGAGATGGGGTTCTACTTGCACCTCTACCACTTACTGGCATCTCCACCTTGGACAAATCACTTATCTCCTGTGCCTGTTTCATCACCTGCAAAACAGAGAGAAAAGCACTCTGCCCACCTCTCAGAGTGGTGAGGCCAAAATCAGAAGATGGGTGAAGCAGCCTGAAAACCACAAAGCAACACAAATGTCAGTATATTAATTCTATGTTAAGGTGGAGCAGAGACTTGATATAACTTTGTAAAGACAGTGAAGATGTTAGACCTGTTTGTAGAAAACCTGGTTAACCACTGAGGCAGCTGAAGGAAACGTAGCTTTAAGCTAGGAACCCTCTTAATACACGTCCATTTTGAAACCTTTAGAAATGGATAATTAAAATACAAAAGAAAATGCTTGGGCTTCCCTGGTGGCGCAGTGGTTGAGAGTCCTCCTGCTGATGCAGGGGACACGGGTTCGTGCCCTGGTCTGGGAAGATCCCACATGCCGCGGAGCGGCTGGGCCCGTGAGCCATGGCCGCTAAGCCTGCGCGTCCGGAGCCTGTGCTCCGCAACGGGAGAGGCCACGACAGTGAGAGGCCCCCCGACCCGAAAAAAAAAAAAAAAAAAAAAAAAAGCTTTCCACAACAGCCAAACTGGGGCTTAGTGAATATGTGATCATTCACAAAAAAAACATAGTAGAGGGGAAAAATGTATCCTTTAGGAAGGGATAATACAAGCTTTTCTGCTGCAAGCCTATTCTGAATGGCTTTGGGTCTCCTGTCAAAATAACCCGAAAGCACCAAAGAACACTAGGCAAGAAAAAGATGGTTGCTACTGGGACCACACCTAACCACGCCCCTAGAGAACCCAAACAAAAAGACGTAATCCAAAGCTTCTGGGGAGGAAACTGGAGACGCTCTATGTTCCGCAATTAGAGAAGCAGCTCAGTAACTAAAGGTGAGAGCAGAAAAAAGCAAGGGCGCTGAGGGGGCCGTAGGGAAGCTCCTGGCTCCTACCCGGGCCCCCGGCCTGCCCACTGCTGAAGCCATTC